GTATACTAATAAATGTAGTATAAATGTATAGGTGAAATATTTAAAAATTCCTAAGGGAAAAATATATAGCAGTCTGACTTATGAAGAGAAATCTCGAATGTTTCTATAACCATTTAAGAAACTGAGTCTCTACGTAAGCACTTAGATGCAAAATTCCTAGGCAAAGTATTAACAAACTTAGTTTTATTCCTCAGAAAATAAATTTGAGTGGTAAGCTTATTTGCTTGAAATTTCACGCAAGCCTCTTCTTCTGGAGAGGCTGCTTGTTACTATTCCATGCCATGAATTTGTCTATTCACTTACTCCCTCGTTCATTCCCTTTTTCATCAAATATGTGTTGTACTTCTGGAATCAGGCACTGTACTATTGAAATTCTCTCAAGGATAAAGCTGGAGAGTGTAAAAAAGCTTAAAGTGCCACTTAAGGCTGTTGCGACCCGGGCTGTTGATTGCCTGGGTGGCCGTGTCCTCTGTATATATATTCACCCTGTTAATAAAAGGTCATCTTCTCTCAGCTGCCTGCTGAGTGTCCAAACGTTCATTTTTTTTTCCCCTTGGTTGGTACTTCTCAGTGAGAGGACAACAGTCTCCTCCTATCAACTCCATTTCCCTTATTCCGGGAAGGCAGGTATGTAGTCCGCCAGCTCACAGGTCCCCTGCTGCAGGCAAGCAGGCCTCTGCTTAAAAGGTGGAGAATTCATGGAGCCTGAAAGAATATCAAAACATTTATTTTTGTCTGTGGAGCTAACCTGACAGAAAATGTTTCTAGAGCTTCAGTATCTGATGTTCAGAGCTAGGTCTCCTTGTTACATCTTTTTTTTTTTTTTTTTTTTTTTTTTTTTACAACTTTTTTTTTTTTTTTTTTTTTTTTTTTTAACCAGGGATCAAACTTAGGACCTTGTGCTTTCAAGGCAGGCGGTGGCACCACTGAGTTAAATCCTGGGCCCCTCCTTGTTGCATCTTCGTAGACTTTTCTCTCCATTTTGCTCATCAGTCCTGACATGGGGGTTTCTTTTCTACCATTAGGTAAACATCTCCGCTTCTAGTGGCTGATAAATGCTATCACCCACACCTTCCCTCTTCCTCCTATAGGTTTCTGTGACCACGGGCACGGGGTACAGAGCAGGGCACTTCTAGGAGAGTTTATCAAGTATGAAGAGCAAGGGAGAGCCTGTGTCACATCTCCCTGGGTGGGGGTCTGTGCCACTTAAGGCTGTTGCAATTCAGAGCAGAGAGGTTAATTTCCCATCATTTATAATCTGTCTCTCTTGAGCATGAGTTATTAGGCATTGAAGGTCAGACTAATTAGGACAGAGCTAGAAAAAATACCATGAGATTTAAAATAAAAGAAATATAAGATTTGTGTAATCAAATGACCCCAGTAAAAGAGTTGAAGGAACAACACTCAATGAATTTGAAATGTTTTAAATATATCTATATATGTATTTAAAAAATATATATATATGTAGTATATATATTGTAGTTGGCATTGAAGATTGAGGATAAATAATAGTAAAAAGTTAGAAGAAAAAATAAAGGGCTATATTTTTTAAAAAGAAAAATGTAAGATTCATAAAGAACAGGGAAGAGTATAATTAAAAAGATACAAACTCAGTGTAGGGGAAAGGATGATGAAATGGATACAGGGTTGCAGTTGGATAGGAGAAATAACTTCTAATGGGTTGTAGTACGGGATAACCATGAGAACAATTAATTGTATGTTTCAAAATAGCTCATAGAGAGGATTTTGAATGTTCCCAGTACAATAAAATGGTAAGCATTTGAGGCAATGGATATGACAAGCACCCTGATGAGATTCATTACTGTGTGTGTGTGTGTGTGTGTGTGTGTGTGTGTGAGACACTGTACTTCATAAATATGTATCAGGGCCAGAAATCTAGTTCAATGGGACCACGCCTGCCTGTCCTGAGTTCAATCCCTGGTACCACACACACACACACACATGATTACCATGTATAAATTAAAAACAAAAATATTTTAAAGAGTATAAATGAATTTTCTTTTTTTTTTTTTTTTGGTACCAGGGATCAAATAAAGAGTGTAAATGAAGACAGTACAGCTATATGTATTTAGCTAATTGGGGTATTTTAAGTAAGTAGAATGCTAAGTGAAAAATTGTGAAGAAAACGAGGAAGGTTCCCTTAGAAAAACAAGTAGTCAAACAACAAAAAAAGAACACACACACACACACACACACACACACACACATACACACACACACACACCCCCGATAAAAAAAAAAAAAAAACACACACACACACACACACACACACACACACACACAGCTGCAACAAAGTAGTACAAGAAGCCCTTGAGTGCCTGCTGGCCTTGGGTGGTTCTGACTGCCCAAGGCTGAGCCTTCACCTGCAAACTGTCTTGCTAGAGAAGGCTCTGTGAGGATGCCTGGGGTTTTCCCTCACTCCCTGCACCCCAGCTAGCTCTAGTGGGTTCTTCTTTCTCTACATTCAACACATTTGTTGTATTCTACTTCATTAAGGCTTTCTGATTTTTGTTCATCCGTAGTCAAACATGACTACATGTATTTGGAGTTATTACATATTTAGGGTTCAAAAATTACTTTTGCAAATAAACTAAATTTAAAAATTTTTTTTTGTTGTTTGGAAGATGCTTTGCTTTCAGTGGATTAGAGCCAAATGCCTTTTACTTATAGTACACATTTATTTTACTTGATGAGCTACTTTTATTTGCAATTTCTTGCTATATAGATTTGGAAATTTTATAGATTTAAAATATGACTGCTGATATTCATGTTATTATTTTTCTCCAGTTTTGCTTCTTTCTACCAATTTAGGTAAAAATGAAGAAAATAAACCTTAAAAGCATGAGGTAACTTAGCCAAGATTTAATAGCTGAAGGATTTCAGAAGTCACTTTCCTACACAGCCTTCTGTATAGAATGAAATCTGTCTATACACAGCATAAAGTCAGATAAACTTGATTTTACTTTCTAATTTTTAAAAATCTGACCAAGATCGTTGTTTGCATGCCAGGAATTTTTTTATTACTGTCTTTGAGACTTTATCACAAGGAAATGTCTTCCTCCATTATTTTGAAAATTCACCTAACGTCAGGTTAATTAGGTTTTAACCCTGTGTTTCCCATTTAGAAATTGGATGTCCCTGACCAGAAGTGTTTCAGATTTCAGAGTTTTTCAGATTTTTAAATATTTGCATAGATTTCATCCAGTTGAGCATCCCTAATCGAAAATTCCAAAATTAAAAATGTTCAAAAACTTTCAGAAAGTTTCAGATTTGGGGTATTTTGGAATTCCAGATTAGGGATGCTCAATCTGTCAAGCTTTGTGCCTGTTGACTGTTTTCTCATCTATAAAATGGGAAGGGTACTTACTTCTTAGGATTTGTAAGAATTAAATGGGGGAATACATGTGATTCTGTTTTAACAAATCCTCATCTCGAGTACTGCAATGTACCAGAGTTTCTGTAATGTTTTTATACAAATAAGAGTCATGATGGAAATTTTGGTCCCTCTTGGATACTTTACCAAAAACACTTGGGTTGGTGAGCTCAAAGCTGGCTCCGGTAATGCCTAATTCCTCTTCTAAACATCAGTGTGTGGGAATGAAAATAAAAATGTAATCAGTGTCATGTTATGAGATAATTTAGAAAGGAAATTGAAAAATGAGTTGGGAAATTATAGCGATGTGATCCTTGACTATTGGACACTGTTGGCATTCATGGTGCCTCCAGAAGAACATGGTGGCAACTCAAGACTGATGATGACAACCTCACTTGGGTTGGGGAAGGGAGAGCAATAAGAGCCACTTTGAGCATGCTTCATCCTGGGGAAGCCACTGGGCCCTCTTAGGAGTCAGAAAGAGAAGTTGCTGCCTTATCCCTGCATTGGCTGGAGCTGGGCTGTTTTGAAGATGAATGCCAAATCTTCTTGCTGGATTTCTAATTCTGCTCAAAAGACACACCCCAATGAAAGCCAGGAAAAAGAATGACTCAGCTGCTGCCATATTTACCACAGACACAATTACATGTCTTTGAACTCTACTCTGACTTAATGTTTCCTGGGTGCTGGCTTCAGAGCAACTGATCACATTTCCATTTCTTCCCGGTCAGGTTATTGGGCTCTCCAGGACCTTTCAGCAGCTCAGTTTCAAAGAGCATCTGGCCCCAACCTATTTCCAGGATCAATCTTCCAGATATGGATTAAGAACCAGAAAGGAAGTGTCCAAACGATATTTCACCATCCTTATCTGATTGTGTGTTTTCTTTTAACAGTGCTGATGCCAGGCACTATCGTGGGCTTGAGCGTATGATGACGAGCAAAGACAAACATATCACTGTCCTCTTAGAGCTTATAGACCAGTAGGGGAGTGATAAATTATTCAGTAAATTATTCAATGGTATATAAACATATAACCTGGGACTGACCGACATGGGGAGGTTGGGGAAGACCCCAATACCTTGGCAGTCTAGGACTCAGCTTCCCTTCCTTTCAAAGTCACCCAAAGAGATCTGGATCAAGCTTTGTAAAAGTTAGCGTCTCAGTCATCCTTACCCCCGTTTCTCTACTCACAGCAAGGGCAGCGGTCCTTAGACCTACTTATTAGAGAGGAAATAATGAAGTTAATGGAAATTTTTGAGAAAAATTAAAAAGAACAACCAGTTATTGTTAAGTGCATTAACTCTTCAAGATTTTATGCAAATTGTAAATATCTGGTTGAGTATGTCTCTAAGGCATGTAGATGGCCAGTGACCTATGGGGACAGTAACTTAACCTAGATTCGACGCAGCAGCAGCATCAGTATTACTAACTGCATAAAACCTGCTGATACACCTAGCGCTCTAAAAACAGAATTACACTTTATTCCCTATATCGTTAAAGTGCTTTCTTCTGTTTTAAACTTTATCCAAGGTACAATTCAAAAATAAAACTTAAAGTACTGATAGATGGGGCCATCACTGTCTGGAGTCCAGCTGTCTGATACAAATCTGGTTCTAATTCTTAGTACCTCTGAGACTTTGGACCACTGTGCACCTGATTTTCCTCTTTTGTATAATGGAAATAACAAAATACTGCGCCGTAGGGATCATAGGATCTGATGGGAACAATCATGGAGTCGTTGGGATGACGAAGTGAGATTCTACAAGAATTCCAGTTTGCTGCCTAGCAGGTAGGAAGATACTCTTATGTCTCTCTTGTCTGCAGAAGGGTAATGAGTACTACACATAGTAGGGGACATCCCTGGACTGTGTTTGTACATATCCTCTCCCCAGTAGCCTGTTACAAAGTCACACGAACCCTGGAAGTGTTAGGTACAAGTGGCGTTCCTTCCCTCTGACTGTAGTTTTCCATAATAGAGATGGAGGAAAATACCATCCAAATAGCCTCCTGTTTTCTCTGACATGACTATGAGCAAAATAACTTGAAACATCCCAAAAATATTCTTTGGGACTCTTCCATTTGCTTGTGGGTTGTGTGTATAGAATAAGAGAATGTCTAACACCAGCCACTATTGTCTGTTCCCCCACCCCCCTTGTAAGGAAACCACAAATGAAATGATACGAGAAAACCAGACTGAAAACTTTCCAAAGCAGGTAAATTCAAGGCAAACATTTTCCTCTCACTGCTGAATTGGCGTGGTGTGTTGTTACTGGAACCAAGAGAGTAGATATTGGGTAAAAGTGATGGTCTAGACTGACATTTTTGGTCAAGTGGAGCCGAACTCTCATTCTGGGTGACTTTGGGAAAAACAGTCTTGAATTCAATTTTAAATTAGAGTTTTTCTTTCTTTGCATGTTTCTGATCCAGTTTTTTCAATGGGTAAACAAGTACTCTAGCAAGAATAAGTTTGGTAGCTTTGAAATAATTAAGATGCTTTATATGGAGCCAGTAATCGTTCTGTTACATTTTTGAAATAATTAAGATGCTTTATATGGAGCCAGTAATCGTTCTGTTACAGATTTGCTACTTTTTTTTTTTAGTTTTCTTAGGCTCTTTGATAAATACGGTCACCATATTTCATTTAAAGGTTTATTATGTACCAGGCACAGTTTTTGAATGAAAAATTTGGGCACATACTTTGGAAAGTACAAATAAAATCATGGAAAAAAATCAGACAGAACGTGAGAAATCACATATGTCCAAAATAAGTTGACCTATGTGTCAGCTGAACCTGCAAATGTGACTGGAATGCAGCCACTCTCTTGGTGTCTGCGAGGCACTCACTCCGGGACGCCTGGAGATACTGCAATCTGAAGATGCCCAGTTCCTTATATAAAATGGTATAGTCTTATTTGCATAGAGCCTATGTATATCCTCCCATATATTTTAAATCGTCTCTAGATTATTTATCATACACAAGACCATGTAAATGCTGTGCAAATAGTTCTTATGCTAGAATTTTTAGAGAATAATGACAATGCATATACCTGGTACAGACTGGGAGAACGCTATAGGTATCTTTACAATCCTCATTAGGCAAAGGGTTAGATGAGAAAGGAACCACCCATTCAGTAAGTAATTCTTGAGCACACCTGATGCCTGGGATGGAGAATGAACAGAGCAGACAGGTATCTGTGCTGTCATGGAGATTAGTATGTTTCTCTAGGCTTTATAGACTCAGATAAAAATTTCACTACTAAGAAGAAGAAGGGAACCAGTATTGAGATACTTAGCAGTCTTTACCATACTAGTCTTTCATTTTTTCTGGGTCTAAGTGAGTATGTATATTTTTTTATTCCTTATAAATGGTACTATAGTACTTCTATAGTAGTATAGACTATAGTACTTCTGGTTTATTCACATTAAGTACATATATTGAGCTTAGTTGCATTTGTCTTAAAAGTCTACTTAGCAGGCTGCCTAATTTCTTATTTGACTGAAAACTGTGTGTGTGTGTGTGTGTGTGTGTGTGTGTGTGTGTGTGTGTGTGTATGATAGCAAAAGCCAACTTTCAGAGAACATGTTCTTGAAGCCTCCCTCATATGATAACCCATTCAGCTAGGTAGATATAATACATTATTACCCCATTTTGCAGGTGGAAAAACAAGGTATAGACAGTTGAATTAAATACATCAAAATTATAGAACTCGTTCCTGGAACAGCCATGTCCCCTGACTTAAGTATGTGGTTTATTAAATAGTAGAGTCAAATATCTCAACATCAACAGATAACTAAAATACTTACTGTTATTTTAATTGTAGTTGTTTCAGAACAAATCAAAACAAACCTTTGTGCAGGACTTTCTCTCTTTGTATTGTCACTGCATTCACAGAGTAGCTCCTGGCAGGGAGACCCTCCTGTTGGATTACTTCACTTGGCCAGCCCTGTCCTCGGGCTGTGGCTTTCTCTGTGGTCACACTGGCTTCGATTCGCCATGACCTCATATTTCATAGGTTCCATGTTTTTGCCATAGCATTGCCCTGCCAGGCCCTAGGGTGACTGTTTACATCAGTAGCATTTACCCAGCCTTCTCGTTAGGCAGTACTGGCTTCTCTTTAAGGTTTAGTCATCATGTCCTGTTCCAGCCTCTCCACCCAGCTCCTCTACTGAGGCCTGATGCTGCTCGGGTACTTACAGCTGCCCCTGAGTTCCTGTGTCCTTGCCTCTCTTCATGTAATGAACTATCAGGATATTCATGAAGTAGAGTAAAGGATCCCTCTCTGCTGCATTGGGACAGAAAACTGAGAATTTCAGAAATAATAAAAAATATAGAAAGCAGAGATGAAGCATGTCTTCCCAACCATATTTGAAGAGGTGTATTTGGGGGAGTCTCTAAACTTCGGATTCTTCATCTGTACAATGGAGATTACAGTATCTACTTGAGAATAGGAAGAATTAGAATTACATACATAAAATGTCCAGCTTAGTACCTGGAATGTAGTAGGTTCTCTGTAAGTGGCAGTAAAATAAATTTCCTTCGTTTTCTATTACATTTAAATTTAGGGCAGCAATACTGAAGAGAAGTGAAAAGTATATCTACACAAAAGCTTGTATCTGAATGTTTAAAACAGCATTTTTTTTCAGCTTTAATTGAGTTTATTGGTACATTTTAGGGATACAGTACAGTTACATTCATTATTGGGATCTTGTTCCTCTACATGACAAGTCTTGGTTCTCATTTTTTCCCCTTACCTCTGCCCACCCTTCACCCCCTCCTCCCCTCCCCGTCTACAAACGCTTTATTTTCATCTTTTCATTCTCTCACATTTTTTTCTTTTCCCTTTTTACTCTTCCCCTACCCATCCCACCTTCCCTACACCTTTAGCTCCTTTCTTCCCATTTCTAAATGTCAGTAATCTTATTAGAATCTTATGCATTGCTGCAGATTATTTACACCAGGGAAACTATTCGGTATTTACACATGTGTGACTTATTTATTTCACTTAGGAGTATATCTTCAATATGTATCCATTTTCCTATGAATGAATCTATTTTCTCGTTCTTTATGGCTGAGTAATATTCCATTTTGTAGAAAAGCCACAACTTCTTTATCCAGTTTCCAATGGATGGGCAAATAAACAGCATTATTTTTAACTGCTGAAAAATAAAAAGCATCCAAATGTCCATTAACTGATGAAGGCATAATAAAATGTGGTATATCCATTAAAAATGAAGTCTTGATACATGTTACAACATGAATGAACCTTGAAAACCAAATGTAAAGTAAAAGAAATCACGCACAAAAGAGCACAGCGGTATGGTTTCACTTATGTAAAACATCCTCAACAGACAAATCCAGAGACAGAAAGTAGGGTTATGGTTACTAGGGGTTAGAGAAAAGGGGGAAAAAGAAGTGACTGCTGCTAGGTCCAGGGGTTCTTTCTGGGGTGGTAAAGAGTTTTGGAATTAGATAATGATGACTATACAAAAACACCACTGAACTGCATATTTGAATAGGTGAATGTTAAGTGTATGGATTTTTATCTCAGTGAAGCTGTATTAAAAATTTTGTGCAGTAGTAATTGTATCCTAGTTGTTATGCAGGCAGAGAAGGCACATATGGTGTGTTCAGCAGGTATATGCTTTCTATAATACCTACGTCTATAGTACCTATGCCTTTTTTTCCATGTCTTTTGGTATCAGAGAATTATCTAGACCTTGCTCAGCCTGTACGTGTCTGTCTTTACTCTTCCATTGAAGATGCCTTCTGTGTTTGTGAAAGCAGAGAAGTGATAACTTTGCTATCCTCTCAGTCATATTCGAAATATTTAATGACTGAGCTACGTTCCATGAGTGTGTGTAGATGGATGGGCCTTGGCTATTAGGCACTGAAATAATGAAGTTTTTGTTTTGGGTCCATGGCTTTCAGACAGCCCTCCAGGCTGGAATATTTTCATAGCATTTCAGCCTAAAGTTGGAGGTAATAAAGAGACTTTTATCTCTAAAATCTCGATGGCTGGCTTCCCTTGAAACAATTGGAAAAGTGAGCATTTCTGAGCACATATTCCCACGTGGCAATAATCAGATGGTGCCTGAAAGTGCCTGCTCTGAATGATCCCTTTCTCCCACGTAGCTGTTACACAGCCCAACTCATTCCATTATGTTATCTGTGCTCAGCCTTTGTAGACATTTGGGTTGGATGGTGAAAATTTGCCCTGAAATTGTTCACTGTCAGCCACTCATCAAACCCATAATTGGTACAGTTTTATACAGTAAACTCTGCTAGTTCCTAGGAGTGTCTTCCTCAGGGAAGAATCTAGCGATGCAGAAAGAAACAGAGCCAGTCAGTCATAACACGTGAGCAAGTGCACTGCTGGAGGAATGGGTAGAATATTGATATAAAATTACAGACACAGGTATCCACCTAGCCCAGGTGTTTGCGAGCCACAGGGAGGTTCGAGGCTTCTGGAAAAAGAGTTCTTGGATTCCGGGGTGGCTTCTTTTTAGAAGCAGTGCTTCTGTTTTTGACCAAGGAGGAAGAGTTTGTGAGTAACTGTGTCTTTTGGGGCACATCTTCAAAACAAGAAAATTAACAGAGTTGGAAAGCAGTGAGGAGAAAAGAAGAAAAGCAAAAATAGTGGGTGAAAGCAGGTGGGAAAATGAATAAACAAGGGACAAAGAAAAGAAAAAGAGGTGCTTAGAAAAAGGAGAAACAATTGTCTTGCCTCAGGCACTACCAGTGTTGTTTTCAGAGAATTCTGAGGGTTTTGACTCTAAGGGATTTAAAAT